AATTCTTAGTTTATCATTCAGAGAATGCAACCTAGCCTCACAACAAAATGTGTATTAGCTACATTGGTCAACAGCATAAAAGGTAGTAGTTTCTCAATAATGGCTGTAAAACTGTGACAAGGCAACATTTGTTGTGTTGCAGCCAGGTGTCCTTCTTTGTGGTCTTCTTGATGTTTTATGGCAGTTGTCAAACAAGGAAATGGCACATTACTGCCACCAACCATGGAGACAGAAATTAACATGCAGTGTCTGGCGAAGGCATATGGTTTGGAACTTTATCATTTTAAAAACACTAGAAGTTGGTGGCATGGTACCAACTGGCATGGTACCAAAGATACCAGTTTGTGCCAGATGGGTGTGGCTTCTGTTCCATTTAAATCCAGCACATGAAATGGTGCATGTTGCTTGTGCCTACCTGAAGCTACCGGATAAACTGTGACACATCAACAAAATATCATGTGGAATCTAACTGAACGGTGAAGAGCAGCATCTTTTCGGTCAGAAAATGTGAGCACCATATCCTAGCCCACAACATTTGATTATGAATCAGAACCTCTGCAGATAGGAAATCTGAATCTTGCTGAACTTGACAGTTCATTCTTTGACCTAGATTGTGTAAAATCATGGTTGAATAACATGAAAAACTGATAAAATCACACCTGATATTAATATGGTGCCCTGGTATTTGGGGTATTATCTCCATCAGCGATGTAGACTGTTCTCTTTGTGTTCAAAAGGAGAGACATCATGTTCCCTTAATATGAAAGTACAGCCTATTTTAACATTATCAGATGATGAAGATCAATCTCCTATCGGTACCTTCTGCTGCCTGCTCCATTCAGGAGAGTTTCCACACCCTTGCTGCTATGTAACAAGCAACATTCTAACACAGCCAAATGGAACACAGCCAAACAAACAGAGAATTTCTCTTGGAGTATGACTAAAACTAAGAAATATATTTTACCTTTAAAAACATGATTTCAGCTCTCTAGATGCACATTTATCAAAGCTGCATTCAAATGCTTATGCCTCATAAAACATAACAAAATTACATCATATATAGCTACTAAATATTGAAAAGTGTGGTAAGATGTGGCCAGCAGATGATCCGACTTTAAATTAAGTCTTTGCTTTCCTTTCTGCTCACTGTAGTTAGACATGAGTACAAAAACATAAAAATCAGCAGGAGAAATTTTGCTGGGCAGCACCTCCCAAACATGTATTGATAGGTCAACACAAGATTGCCTGCAGAACCCTCCCTTAGAACAACCCATCACTGTCTGTCCTTCCTGAATTCAGATTTATGGGTTCAAAACTCCCCACAGCTTTACTAATATAACCCATATTAACATTTCCCCCCATGGTGTCATCCTCCCAGAACGAGGGTTTGATTGGGTTTAATCATTTGCTGTAAGAGGAGTGCTCACAGGCTTCCATGTTCAAATGTGTTAGCAGATGACAGACAGTGGGTGTAAATGGAAATAGCAATGTGGAGACTAAAGTTAATGGGAGCCACATTGATCTGACATGACAAAAACAACGTAGCAGGACAAAGATACACATAATCAGTAGGTCAGATCCAAACTGAAACCTTCAGTGTACAGTGGGAGATGTGTCTTTTCCACACTGATGGAATTTTGAAGTGTTGACAACAAAACTCCATATCCCTCTCTGTTTCTTTCAGCCAAGCTGAGATCTCTGATCCCAAAAATATTTTAGATAATCATGCAGTAAACTGCTTCAAAATACATGACCTCATGTTATAGCAGGTGTTTTGATGACAAAGGTAGAGTTTCCCTGATCATGTTTCTACCTGCAGTCATTGTTCTCACATTCCAGCAACAGAGTTCTCGTTAAACTTTCCCACCCTTCCTTAAACTTATATCTTTCTCTATCTTCTCCTCTTTCTTTCTGCCTTCTTATTTCTCTCTTTCTTCTTCCTATAGTTTTTCCTGCTTCTGCATGGGGATCTGCCATGCATGAGTGCCATGCGGATTCTCCAGAAGCCTTCTCCAAGCAGCGCTAATACTTACCAAGCATAACATCGACAGTGTCCATACATAACCACAATCACTATTCATAGGAGTGGTCCTGACTAGCAAACTGAAAAAAAAGAAAATTAACAAATGAAAGTAAGGGTGCTGGGGTTGTACATTCATACAATGTTTGTGACATGTCTTCCACATTTGTATCACCCAGATTCCATCAGTGAATCTGTGATTGACTTCATGGTCTGTTGAAGAAAGCCATGAACCTGCATTCATCGGAATTACTTACCTGGCTTCACTTAGCCACACCTCCGCAACTTGCCTCATCCTTCATGAAATGTATTAAGCCAGGATGCACTTTGCAGATTAGGTCAAACCTTTTTAAATATTATCTGGGATTTCTCAATTCTGATTTTGTGAAACAGCCCTCTGGAACAGAACACTGCAACACGGCTGCATCCCAGCAGAGCCTTTGAATTGGACATGCAAACTCACTACTGAATAGATAGGGAATTCTTATTGTCTGGCCAGACTTGTGTTAGTGGACTGTGTGTTTGTAGCAACAAGGAAAGAAGCACAAATGCTGTGGTTGTGTCCAAACACTGTTTACAGCTATGAAATGCCAGCCCTACTATCTGCCAGGGCAGATAGCCCATTGTTACTGTAGCAGTCTACCAACTGGGTGCTGCTAACATAAGAGTGCTCACACTTTATGTTGCACTGAGGTCCAAGAGAAGTGAGCCTTTCATTACATTGTATGTGGGTCAAGCATATTTGTGCAGATGACCCTTAACCTTAACCTGAACATAGTCCTCCCACCCTAAGTTACATATAAAATTCATACAGGCACATGAATCCTTTCACAATATTCAAATGCATAAGGTGAAATAATGTGACTGTCAAGGTCGACGCGTGAAGCTGCCGAAAATGTCGTGGGTGAACGCAATTAAATGACCAGACGAGGATACGCAAAACAAAACTGTCTCTTTAATAAGAGTACAAAACAATGAACAAAAAATGATAACATGAAGCGCATTTACAAATCGGTAACAGTCCAGGGTCAAAGCCAGCAAACACATAAAGCAAAGGAATCCGAAAAGCGTTGTCCAGCGGGAAGTCCGATAAATCATACACAGTAGGCAGTCCGAAGTTAGAGGGTAAGGCAGAACAGAATTGTCAAAGTACATGATCCGGGTCAAACACAGGAAATACCAAAACCAAAAAATGCTGGAGAGTCAGAGCGGGGGTCTAGAACAATCTGGCAAGTGACTGGTGGGGGGGGGGAAGGCTGCTTATAATGTGGTGAAAAACAGGTGTAAACAATCAGGAGCAGGTGAAACTAATGTGAGTGATAATAAAAGTCAAAAGAAACTGTGGTGAAACAAAAACAGGAAGTAATATCAAAATAAAAGCACCACAGGAAGCACACGGATCCGAATCATGACAGTGACACAGTTCACTTTGTTGTATACTGTAGATTTATGTAAGAAACATGTCAAGCTAATAAGTGGATAAAATGTATTGTGTAAATATTCAGTATAACTGGAGAATTGGCACTATTTGACAGATTACCTTACTTGACTCTAAGATAATAGATTGGTTGGTAATCCTACCTTCCATGGACACGTTAATAAATCCTGCTCTGGAATGTGTAATTTGTGGAAAAGAATTACTTTTCATAATTTAGTTAATTTAAAATTAAACATATATCTCACAAGACACGTGAATGATAACACTATATTATTTAACACACAAACAGGAAAAATCTTCCAGATCTGAGGCAATAAAATAAAATAAATCTGCATTAAATCCAGGTGCTTCTGCAGTAGGCTACAACGATGCATGTAATAATCTATTAATTAATGTACAGGAAAGAATTCAACATTTGCAGACACAAGCAAAATCTTCTCCTTAACTGACCTGAATAGCTTCAGTAACTGTAGTTTTGCTAATGAAGTAGACATGATCAAACCTAAGAGATTATAATGTAATCTGAATGAGCTCTTTGGACACACTTTGTAATTTGCATGTTGAACAGCATTATATTGTCTGGCAAACCTTAAACATACATTAAAATGTTAAAGAGCACATGGCATGCTTTTCCTAAACTTGGTTTATACACATCTATCTAACTCTCACTTGCAAGACTTTTTTTCTAGCATAATAAAGTATTATATGATAGTTTAAGGATTTTCTTGAATGGGCATAATTTCCAGGTCAATGATCAGCTCATCAACAGTGGATTCCCCCGGTGCACAGTACCTGTTTGTTTTGACTGCTTAAGACCAGTGTGTCTGCTACATGTGGTGTGTTGCTGGTTAACAAGCGGAGTAACAACCCATGACGTTATTGTTATTGGTGCTACACTACCTGTTGGAGTTAATTTCTATACTTTGGGACTGTATGTAGTCGTGTGGGGGAAGATGCAGCGACCACTGGTTGGATTTACTGACCTTGGAGCTACTTGAAAGGGACTGATGTTTCCACTACTCAGTGGGGCTTAACGGGAAATTTAAAAAAACACACATTGCATGTCTGTTAATACCTTGTTTCTGTAACGTTAGAGAGAATAGTTGTAAGGCTGGAGAAATTATGTCTGCATTATGCCAGTTAAAATATGGGGTTTCTCAATTACCTGCTTTGTTTAGAGTGTTACACATCTCTTTTCATCGGTACATATACTGTTGTTTAGCTATTAATGGAGGAGAAATTCATATAATCAATGGCGTCACAGTTCGTTGTGCTGTCCACTTGCGACACAACACTGGCAGCAGGAGTTGTGCATGTTCACAAACTGTTCTCTCATTTTATTATTCTGAAAAACTTACAGAATATTTGGAGTTGAGAGGTGCCAAGCTAACCTGAATGTTGTTAGGACATGAGCCAGCTTCTACCTCTCTTCTTCTCCTTGGGGTCTGGGGCTGAGTTACTAGGCGTGGCTGGCAGGGAGTGAGCACATCTGTAGCCTATTTGCCAATTTACTCCTGGGCATTTAGTCTGGGCTCAGCTGGCTCCTCCTTGCCAGTCAGTTTTGCTGTCTATGCAGTAGCTCTTTAGCCAACAATCTACAGAAGAGTTTTTGCTCCTGATAACCCCTGTCAGCCTTGTTGTCCCTGTTTCTCTGGTGTTTTTTGTTGCGTTCCTGTGTTACCTGCTCTCCTTGATACCTTGCTGCCATTCCACCAGGTAACCTTCCCTTTGTCTCCTAACACCCTCATTTCTACCTGGCTGAAGCATTTGTACTTTGTATGCTCCACCTGCTCCCCTATTCGACTCTGCTCAACCCCATGGTGTACCTCGATGAAGCTTGACCGACTACATGCTATTCCTCTATCCAGGTTACATTCCTCCTGCTCGGCACTATGCTGCTCTGTCTCGCAACACACCTTGACACAGTCTGACTAACAACACGATCCCCAGCCACCCAGTTCGCCACTACCAGCGAGGCCCATCTCAGCTTCGTTCTAGTGCTCCTCGGGGTCTACTCTCATCTCAGCTACAGAGTGCAGTTCTCAACCAGCCTGGCGCTACACCGCCTAATCTCTCTCTACTCCTCGACTCTACCTGGCTGAAGGTATGCTGCTCAGTCTCTCCATGCTCCTCTCCTCTTTGCAGCCAGTCCTTGGCTGAGCTTCCCTCCACTCTTCTACACAGTCAGCCTACCAACAGCTATCCTGCTCCTCCCTGCATCTATTTGGCTTTGCCTGACCTCGGACTCCCTGACACCTCGCTGTCCCAAGACTATGTTTACAAGGCAGGTGGTTCTCAGCTCCACATTTGACGCAGCTCGGTACCTCCTGTCACCCTCATTTCATGTCTGCTGGTTCTCCTAGTAAGGTTAGTTCTGGTCCTGGTTCTTGCTCCGCTTTCCTCGACGACAGTCCTCCTGATCGTGCCACTCCCACCCTGGCATTCTCTAGCTACATCAAGCCTTCAATTCTTTGTCACCCTACCAGCCGTCTGTATCCACCCTGCCCGCCAGCCCTCCACTCATCATCACTCGTTGGAAGACAGCCACCCTACCACTCTCCGGGGCCTCTGGCCTGGCAACCTCGCCCTATCCTGCATCTGCTCCCTGCTTCTCCTCCATCTTGTTCCTGATGATCTCCCTCACCAGACTCCATTCTAGCAAGGTGGTAGACAAGCAGTGATTCAGCCACCTCTACCCAGTCCGCTCTGTTCACTTCCCTTACGTTAGTCTTTAACTAAAGCTCTAGTTTTGCCTGCTATCTGTAACTGCTTTTGATGTCCAAATTTGTGCTTGTGGCCCTAGGCCATAACAGAGGTACCCAAGATTAAATATTAAATGGCTGGAAACGAGCAAAATGAGCATGCCATGGGGACTTTAATAATACTGTTAATGTAAAGTTCTGTCAATTGATTTTATTTGAAAGTCTGAAAATCAAGTTATTAGTGTTCATTATAAAAACAGGATTTACTGTAATTATTCTTGTACAAACATTAGTAATGTGATAGTACAGTGTGCACAGATAAGCTTTTTTTTTATTTGTTTTTGCAGTCTTTTGGCAGAATCTTACTAGATGATTCCATAAAATATAGTGACTACTAACAAAGAAACACCAAGATTAATTAAGATTTAAGTTGAAAGAAAAGGTAATTCAGTGCTGCATAGCTCCATCTATACTGTAGCACCTGCAGTAAGAAGAAACCGTTGTGTAATAGTTCTTGAGAGAGGAACCGTGTTCCAAAAATGTTTGCTGTTACAATTATTATTGAAACCCTTATTTCTGGATGCGTAGAACATACAATAGGCTACATCTCCCCAAACTTTGAAAACCCCTTATCTAGATGACACTAAATATGAAAGAATAAAAATCTACCAATAGAGATCCATTTGACAGCTTAAAATAGAATTTTCTTTTTTTTATATTAAAATCACCTATTGCCTATTTAAGGCCAGCAGTAATAAAGCCATCAGACGTGCTTACTGCGCTTTTGGAAAATAGGGTAATACTGTACAACAAGCTTGTTTTTTTACAGCATTTTTCTCATGCAGCTGTGTTAACTGGAAAAGATGTCAATAAAGCCTCAGCAACCTGACATTATGTGACGACGAATGAAATGATTGCAAACCTGACATCTACAGAGAGCTGCTGTGACACCAGCCCTCACAAGCACTAACACATGATTTATGTCTGGGATTTAAAGTTTACTTAGGGAGACATAAACAGCATGCAAATAAATGCCACATGGCAATAACGTTGTCAAAATAATACAACAAATTAAATGCCCATGCCTATCACTAATTACGATCAATGTCCTTTCTGAAAGACAGGGACTGGTCTGGTTTACAGGGCAGGCTTGTCTGCAGGTGGCCCACAGCCTTTGCTATTGTTGGGAACTGACATTTGTGAGCAGTAGGCCCAGACTAATGACAGACCATGAGAAATAGATACATTGATTTTGGTTTGTGGGAATGGGTGATGATGCTTGACACACACAGTGTTTAACATGTCAGAGCAGCATCAATCAGCGTTTGTGTTGCTGGAGCCAGTTTCAGTGTGTGCTCAGGGAGAGAGCAACAGAGACTTCAGTAGATTCCAGTGTACAATTAATACAATTTATTACATATAAAACTGAAAGGAGTCTTACTGTATGTGTTAGGATTTGGCTTAGCACTTTTTAGAATTTTTTTTAGAGCAATTTAAGAGATTTGACAGTGGAATGAGATGACAGGGAATTAATGAAGAGAGAGGCTAAACAAGGTCCAAAGCAAAATTTTACCTGACTATTCAACACCTTAATAGCTTTGCTGCTTTCATCCATGACAAATTATGCATGCATATGATGTGTAATTTATAATCTCATAATGCAAATTTTCTTTGAGGTTTCCTCCCCTTGAGTCATTGGGATTCAGAGTCTTACCTAAAGACATTTGAGCAAGGCAGAGACTTGCTTATCTATACCATACAATCTAGTATTTTAGTGAAGCCTACAAAGCATAGGCAGCCCACAGATATCAGCTGTTTACAACAACATAGTCACATTGTTTTGTATGAAAGAATTCCAAACTGACTTGACTGTCATAAAGAAACAGTGCGTTTAAATAAATAAATGATGTAATGCAGGCAATTTAAATCAGGCCGGCAGGTCTAGTATGGCTTGGTGGTCAATCAGATGAAAATTATGCCCTGCACATTGTAATTATTAGGACACACTCTGCCCTGTTGCTGAACAGACACACGCCTTCATTCACCTCCCCCACCACCCCCACACACAAAGTCAAAGTCACAGTGTAATTAGTAGGATGTGCCCCACCCCATTGTTTAATCAAAGGCGAGAGTCCGTCTGCCCGCTTGCCTCTCATCATCTCACAAGCCTAATGAAGGAGCAAGAGAGACAGAATCAGACACCATGTGCACGAGGGTGCATATATGTGCACACACACACACACACACACACACACACACATATAAATAGTCTCTCTCTCTCTTCATGTCTGTGTCTTTCTATATATAGTATGCAATTCCATCAGTTTTATCAGTAAGAGTTTTAGAACAGTGTTGGCAAAACACGTTTAAATAAAATAGTTGTGTATGTGAAAGAGAAAGAGAGAGAACAAGAGAGAAAGCATGTGTGTGTGTCCATGTGAATATGTGTGTCTAGCCTTCAGCAGGCTGTGTGTATGTCTCATTATGTACTATCGATAACAGCATGATGGCAAAACACCTGCTAAGGCCTGACCTCCGTGTACTTGTCACTACAAAACAAGCTGTTCTGTCCCTCTCCTCCATCCTCCACTCCTCCTACTTGTTACCTAACTTGCTCTTTTTCTCCCACACTAGCCCTACCCCCTCCTTCCTCCTCTCATAACAGGCTGTCCTCTTCTTTTCCTTTTGATCCCTCATTCCCTCCCTGCTGTCTGCTTTTCTCTGTTCCATCTGTGCTCGACTGTATATCTTAGGGATCTTCCTCTGTATCCTTTCTACCCATCTATTTTTTCTTTCTATGCACTTTCCTTCTATTTTTCTCAAGTGGGACAGTTTCTATTGGTCAAAGTGAATTATTTGATCTGGGATTTTTCATTAGTTTGACTGAAAATGGATTTTGAACATGAATCTCACTGAAACCTTAGCTATTTCATAGCTTTAATTTCCAGTGTTTAGTGTATGTATATTTTTAAGGTATTGCCTTTGACAAAGTGCTAGTCAAGCTGGAATTTTGACCATTTGATGATGCAGGATAGATCCATCTGTACAACAGTTAGACTGCAGCTTCCTGAGGCTCACCAATCAGCTCTACCATCCTGTCTCTTACGTACTCTCTTTACATATGACTACAGTGTTTCTTGACAACTTTTATAAAGAAACACAGATGTTGCTTTTAGCACTTTTATGCCTCTGCCTCCGCATTAGCTGTGGCTGGAGACGTTATGTTTCCCAGTTGTGTGTTCGCTCATCTGTCTGTACATCCATACCATACTTCCCTCCTGCTATCCAGCCCGTTCTTGTGAACAATGATATTGTATGATATAATGCCTTGAGGGAATTTGTACAAATTTGGCACAAAAGTCCATTTACACTCAAGGATGAACTGATTAGATTTTGATGGTCAAAGATCACAGTTCACTGTCACCTCATGTCCAGCCTGTGCTCAGGAACGAGGTGTCTCATGAACACCTTGAGGGAATTTTTTCAAATTTGTCACAAACATCCACTAAAGTGATAACTGTGGCCGGAGACATCGTGTTTTTGGGTTATCTGTCCATCCGTCTGTACAAACCTTGTGAACATGATACGGGAATGTCTTCAAATTTGGCACAAGTGTCCACTTAGACTCAAGGATAACTGAATAGATTTTGGTGTTCACAGTGACCTCACGTCAATCCATTCCTCTCAATTTGACTGGTTGGCAGAGGCATACAACCATGATGGGGTAATTCCAATTTTTGTCTAGTGTTGGAAGCAAAACATGTCCAGTACTGTGCCAGAATCATAAGGAGGAGGTCAGGGTGGATTGAGGGCCATATAAAACAGGTCTGAACAACAGAGAATGGCATCTTAAGTTAGGCTGTGGTCTGTCCTGATGAACTGTAGGATCACAATGGACACTGCTAATTTAACAGCAACCACCATCAGTATCATTGCAAAACTCCCTTACCTGGCTGGACTGTCAGCACATGGATTCAGTCAAATCAAATCAAAATGTATTTATATAGAACTTAAAAAATGTCTTGTTGATCAAAGCACTTTAAATAATTACAACAAAAATCAATAAAACTGCATCATTATACAAATTAAACACTGATGAGATAAAATCAAACAACAGGTGTTAAAAGTCTTATTAAGCAAAAATTTTAAAATGGGCAGGTCTGTAGTAGATTTAACATTATTGGGTAGACTGCTCCAAAGTTTATGGGACAGCAAAAGCACAATCTCCCTCTAAACCTTGGAAACTCAAGTAAAAACAGACTCTATGACCTAAGAGGTCTTGGTGGCTTGTGCCATCATATCACTGAGGTAAAGAGGTGCCAGACCATTTAAAACTTTAAAAACAAAAATCAACAACTTAAAATCAATGGACTCACAAGGAGCTGGCACTAACAACAAATCTCATTTTTTTTTGTCTAATTCCACACTTTAATATCTCTGTCCATATTCATATCAGTTCACAAAATGGAGGAGCAAGGGCACCATCCACTTATTCCAAAAAATGTATGCCAAAAGTACAAATGCACACATTTTGCTTCTGCTCGTGTCTTCCCAGGATGCTAAAGATTTATTAGTACAGCTACATCTTATTTCACAGTTTAAAGAGATAATATACAACAGAGCAAGCTGTTGAATTAAGATGTGTATCACACTCCTCTCTGAAAGGAACAATGGAGACAGATTGATAACCAGCAGGAAAAATACCACAGACACACAAACAAAGGAGAGGAAGAGAAGAAAATAAGAGAGAAGGCTTACACTTTTTAAAAAATATTTTACCACCTCAGAGAATCATGTGTGCAAGTGTGTCTCTCAATGAAATGGTTTACTGCAACACTCAAAGCAACAGCTTTATAGTATACATGAATGTGTTTGCATGTATAGGTCTAAAATAGAGCGTCTCAGATTTTCATATCCAAATGTGTTTTGTTCACATGAGATTTATAATTGTTGCACTAGCAAAATAAGAATAAGAGAAACAATAATTTAAAGTAAAAAAGAAAATATAACATACATAAAAGTCCTTGTTTCCCTCGGTAAAGAAAGGATGAAGATGCTGCTATCTTGTGATGAGGGCTGCTGTATGGTGAAGCCAGTTTCAGGATTGTTGTCTTATCATCACAACACACTCCTGTGAAGCAGAGAAAAAATGCATCTCCTTCTCCTCTTCTCTGCTTTTCACTCTCTGTCTCCCTCTCTTCCACAACAAAAAGCCTTTGATGCTGATCTTATATCTCTTCCCCCACAATGCCTCAGCATATTCTGACATCTGATAGTTACATAACCATCAGAAATAGGCAAGTGGGGTGTCCTCGCTTTTCTGTATCTTTCTCTCTGGCTCCATAAATATATTGCCATGCACATGCACACACAAACAAACACACACACACTCTTGAGCACGAGTGTATAACAGAGTGTGAGGGAGCGTGTAGCACCCAAAAAAATCTATTTCCATCTATGCAGGCTCCCCAGCACACACTCACAGGAGAGGAAGTGTGGCACAAACCTGAATGAACTCAGGAGAGAAAAACAGAGCAAGGAGCTTCAAGAAAAGAAAAGCAGTGAGAAGAAAAGAGAATTGCCATTTGTACACCGAGATTTAATGAAAATGGTTTGAATTTCCTGTCAACACTAGTTGCTTTTCCTCTGCTTAAAATGCCTGGCTGCTCTCTGGCCTTCATTTTGTACTGCTTCATTCACTTTCTCTAAAGTAAAGCCAGGAGATGACATCGCATCAGCACCAGCTCAGAAACACACTGGTGGATAAAATAATGAATTATGTTAGTGTTCAAGCATGGAAGTTCATTCTTGACATTTAGGAACAGTAAGTTCATTTAAGAGCTTTCAGACCCTTTACCTGCATCTCTTCACGAGCTGATGGAGTCTGCA